TCCTTTCTTGTGCAGTTTTTTGATAAGGTGTTTCAATGTCATTCAAACCGAGACGCTGTTGAGAAGCTCCAGAAAAGTTCCCCGGACAGTGAATCCGCTGAACAGGTGAACAATATATTTTGGCTTTTGGGTGTTATTAATCATAACTGCAACATTAGGGCAGTTTTTCTTTTAGATAATTGGGAAATCTACTTAAGTGGATCGAAGATAGTTAATTGACCTCTAGTTAACTGTTAGGTATAACTTTTTCTGTTAGTATTTAACTGGAGACTGTTGTTAACTTGTTAATAATATAGTTAATCTTACTTTCTCTTGAGTTTCTTGGTGAGTGTAGCAACTTGCTCAGGGGGTTATAGTCAAGATGTGCAAACTAGCCCAATCATCATTGATATTTGTATAAAATATATAAAACAAATGAAAGTGATATTCAGATAAATTGTATGGCAAAAAAGTGGCGATCTTTCCTTATCAAAAAAGAAAGTTGCAATCTTTTCTTTTGGATCCCCAACTACTCATTTTCCATGAAGTGACTAGTTGGTATATTCTTGTGAAGCTTTATGATCACTGCATCTAACCACTTTGGTACTTAATAAATTGACATTGTGGCAGTGCAGAGACTCGTTCGCTTAACTTTTGAGCACCCTCAATATCCGATAGACTACTCATTTCCATCACACGAGGAGGTTCGTTACTTCCTTTTGTTTTCTTTTCTTATTGTCTACTTTAGAAGTTCAATTTCTAGAAAAAGTCCTAAATGAAAAATGTTTTCTGTGACAGTTTATAGGAGGTATAGTGTCCCATGCTTCAGCTTATTTGTGTTGAAATAGAGCATATTGTTTTTGAGAATTTTTTTCATGCTTTCCTTCTATACTTGCTCATGTTGATCCTCTGCAGGTAATGATAGGTGCATTTTAGTTTAGATTGTTTATTCAACTGGTGATAGTCGTTTCTTGAATTAATTCTGTGGCACTGGAATCTGTGCCTTGTATAATTGGCTGTTCTATTGTAAAACCAAACTTCTCTTACCCTAACTAACATCCATGGGAACAGGACTGGTTAGTCACCAAAAGGAGTAAAAAATCTAATTTCATTCAATCAAAGGACATGGTTGCAATTGATTGTGAAATGGTCCTTTGCCAAGATGGTACTGAAGCTTTAGTCAGAATCTGTGCTGTGGACCGTAATTTAGAGGTATTTTTATGATTTATACCTTATGTTATATAACAAATGGCAAAATGAGGCCTCTTTATCTCTGATGTAGTACAACTCTGTTTTTAATGTCACCATAAGTTATTTTGAGGTACAACTCTCTTTTTAATGTCACCATAAGTTATTTTGAGGTTCTGAAATTGCAGGTTAAACTCAATGAATTTGTGAATCCCAACAAACCAGTTGCAGATTACAGAACTGACATTACTGGCATAACTGCTGGAGATTTAGAAGGAGTTTCTTGTTCATTGGCTGATGTACAGGTATAAAGTTGTCCACTTTAGGTTGTCCAGTAGCCATTAACAATTTATTTGTCTGAACTTTTGGGTGTTATGATCCAGACATCCCTGAAGAAGCTATTATCACATGGAACCATATTGGTTGGCCATAGTTTACACAATGATCTTCGTGGTAAGCTACATCTTCTATCATAAGTGTCGGTTCTTTTAATTAACATGTAAATCTTTGGTGCATATCTACTGCTAACTGGAAATAACATGATTGTATGATCATGTCTCTTTTTAGTACCCCAGGTTTTTATTTTATTTCTATTCCCTTTTCCCTTTTCTCTCCCTGTTCTTTAGAGAATTACGACATGCTTTTTTCTCTGTTATGTCATTTTTAACAGCTTTGAAGATGGATCATGCAAGAGTGATTGACACATCATATGTATTCAAATATCAGGGTCAAATTTCTAATAGAAGACCTTCCTTAAGTAACTTGTGTAAGGTAAGACATTTAAAAAAAAAATAGGTACATCTTTCCATGCTGCAATCTGTCCACTCTGTTGAATGGTTGTCCATACCAACCCTCCTTAAGATTCCAAATTTCCAATTCTATTTTGGAATTTCAAAGTGCAGGCATTTCTTCAAATGCTTGTTATCTGAACACTCTAAAGAACTCTATTCTTTTATATGTTGGTAAAAACAAGCGTGCTTCATTTTATCAACAAATTATTTTGTTTGTTTCTGTCGCTGTTATCCTTTTTCCAACTATCATTACTTTACAAGCGGAAGATTTTAAGTTTTTAACAAGTATTAAACTATTTATCACAAGCTCTGTTTGATCAATGCCATTGTTACTTACTATTGTTTCCAAATAGTCTGTGTTAGGGTTTGACCTTCGAAAGATAGGCTCTCCGCATAATTGTCTAGATGATGCGATTACTGCAATGAAACTTGTTCTTGCCAAGCTTGAATGTGGAAGTGATAATATCATACCATTGGTTTGTGATGAGGTAATGTCTAGATCCTTTTATTTTAAATTTCAGTTCCTTGTTTCCTGATTGATAAGATGGTCATCAATCATCTACTCCTAAATTTAGGCGCAAGAGCCCGAGACGTCAAAGCTACTTGTCCACAGAATACCTGCAGCTGTTCATAGCCAAGAGTTGCACAAAGTTATTCCTGGAGACTTTACTGTGGAAGTTAAGGTTAGGAGAATCTTATGCTTTTTTCTCTCATCTCATATCATTGATGAATGATATCTTTATGTAGTCTGAACTAGTTTATAAAAGCATATGTCAACATTCAATCAGTGAAGAATCACATGCTGGTATGACATGGGTATTCATGCTTTGTGCTAATTCTTCAAAATACATTATTATTTGCAAGAAGCTACTCATGTACATGTCAATGTTAACAGTTACCCACACGTGATACGTGCTTGTAAACAAGTCCATTGACATGAATCATTGCCAACATTATTAAAAAGCCATAGCAGCTACTTGATGCAAGTGAAAGGCAATATTGTTAAAGGCTAAAACGTGACAACACTTATTCTGTCAGTTGAGACTGGAAATGCTAAGCGCAATGAAAGCATGGGATTTAATGTAAAAAGAGGCAAATGGAGAAAAATGTGCATGCACACACAAAATTAAATTATATGGATCAAATAATTATGAAAATTGCAATGAAATTGAATATTATGAAAACTAAGTCAATTAATCCCAAAAAAACTAGTTCACAGATCTTGTTTAGAGGCTAAGGTGTTCAAGTTTTAAGTTAGATCGATGACTTGTTTTCATATATCATGCTACTAGTGACAAAGAATTATACATTATAGTTCTCTTATATTTAGAATATTGTGGGAACCAACAATTTAAGAATTACGAGTAACTATTGTTTTCTTTAGAAACAGTAACAGTAATCAAGATTTTTGCACGCGAATGATGTTTGAGTAAGAATCTGTACGGTTCATCACTTTCTAGTTCAAACTTCGCTGGATAATACTTAGTTTGTCCATCTATGATCTGCTGGCAGGCTAATAAAAAAGGGCAAGCAGACAAGTATTCTGCCTTTGTCAACTTCAAAAATCAGCATGAGGCAAATGAGGCATTCAATAAACTTGAAGGTGACCTAGAGAAGGTTGGTATACTTTCAGGACTTGTTTGTACAAAAGTGTTTTCATTGTCCTATCAGAGAAGCCAAATTGTGCAAACGAAAGAGGCATATGTCGTAATTTAACTGACTTTGTCATAACTTTTGTATATCCGTCTTTGTTAGGATATTGGTGGACGGCCACAGAAGCTCGTTTCATTTCATCTTGATTCCGGTGTATCAGGGTCTTGTTATGTTCGTAAGATGGATGCCAATAATTATTCTAAAGATAAAGAGGTCACGCCAAAGAAGAGGTCACTTGAGGATGAAGAGGCCGTTGTAGAGTCAAAGAAACCAAGGACAGAAGACCAATGTACAGAACTCAAGGAGACTGCTGGTGCAGGTTGTAATCAATGTGAAACTCATTTGATGGAGATTGAGAAACTAAAGAAAGATTTAAGTCACAGAGACGAAGAAATCTCCAGCTTGAACAAAATCATCGTTAACCTTGTGAGGAAACAAGGATTTTAACTCTTCGATGGATTTATGGGCAACACCCCCTACTGGAAAACAGATACAAATACTCTATTTCGACACCAGAGACCTATGCTTCATGAAGGTCAAACGAGCAGCTATTGTTTAATAGCTTTTGGTTATGCTGTTTCATTTAGGACTGCGACAAAGAGAAGGGGTATGGAGAAAGAAGAATCTCCCTTATTGTTAATGAAGGTTATCTCCGGGGCTCAAAGTACGACGTCGAATATCGTAACAGCAACTGCAGCCAAGAGTCTTACTAAAAGGGCTGATAGTTTTTTTTTGTTTTACTTATTTGTTTTCTTCCTCTGAATTGCAGGCAAGATCAATTGTATCAGTGTTGTCAACTGGATTTCTTCCTTCTCTTTAAGCTTATGAACTTTTTTAACTCTTTCAATTTTCTCTGTATTATTTGATTTGTTTGTGTGCATCTCTTTACCTTATTTATTTTTGTGCTCTCTATACACATAATAATATCACCATGAAATTCAGTCAAATGATGTCACTGTAAAAGAATACTTTATCGACTTGTATTAGCTTGTGTTTTATTATAGATGTAGTCATTTTCTTGTATCCTGTATTTGGTTGGAGATATTTTTTGGTATGTTAAATTATAAATGTAGTCATTTTTTTGTATCCTGCATATGGTTGGAGATATTTTTTTTTGTCAAAGAATTTGACTACAATTAAACATCATATAATACTCTTTTCAATATTTAATTATTGCCGCGAATTTCAAGAACATTCTAGCAAAAGCTAAGATGCCTTCCAGAAGAAGTTTCGAAACTTCTGGAATATTCAATTCTCATTCTGGAAAATTCAGCTTCTACCTCAAATAGCAGAAAATCTAACCGCTTGTCTCATTGAATTTTACAATACAAAATCGTTAGCTATCAAATATTCAAATAAAATATCTCAACTAACCGATCAAAGTTAGCAATGGAAAATCTTTTCAATAGGTCTCAGCAAGCTCGCCCTCGCTATTCCTCGAGAGGAAAACCAGTACAATCGGTCCATCAGAAATCTGCCGGAATCAAACCGGCGACGAAGGTTGTTCAGATTCCGGTCCACTCCGTCAGTTCCGATCCAGATCGGTCCTTCCCGACACAGAAATCTGATGAGGCGGCGCAGGCGCCTGATAGAAGATCCGCTTCAGCGTTAAGGATCCAGAAGGTATTTCGTGGCTATATGGTGAGGAAAAACGTGAAGAGAATTATGTCAATACGAAAAGAGGTGGATGAAATTGAGCGGAAGCTTTTATGCGGCGAAACGGCGGAGTTGATTCGGAGAGACGAAAGGGAAAGGTTGCGGGTGAATGAAACGCTGATGTCTCTGCTTTTCAAGTTGGACTCCATTAGTGGAGTCGATGCTGGTGTTAGGGAGTGCAGAAAGGGTGTGATTAAGAAGGCAATATCCTTGCAAGAAAAAGTTGACTCCATTGTTTCCTGCAGCTAATTAAATTGCGAGTAGAGTGTGGGTAGACCTTACGAGATAGAGCAAGAGTGTGGGTGCAGAAAACCAAGCAAACATCAAATTGTACTAAAAATGATTAGAGGGCGAACAACATGTAGCTCCATTGGGGCGGAGCCATAAGAAAATAATCTTGTTTTAATTTGTTTAAAATTATTTATTTTATATGTATATAGTATATGTAACTTTCTGAGGTTTTTTTTTTTTTTTCTTCTTGTGTGTTTACTTCTTTTATCCGTCTAGAGCAGAGTAGAAGAAATAGAGAGTTGTTGGAGAAAAATGAGAACAGAGAGTTTTTTTCTGCAGTCTGTAGTTATAACTTGTTAATAATGATGTACTCTTTGGTTTTGATTTGGCAAAGACTTTAAAAGAAATATTTTTTTAAAATGGGCTAAGAAAGAGAGTAAAATAAACAATTTGAAATGGAAGGAGTAGTTAATCTTACTTTTCTATTCAAGTTTTAAATACAAAATTTAATTCAAACCTCCAAGGGAATGGATGCTTTAGAAGAGCCAAACAACAATTGTGACTTTGTATTAGCCAACTAGCCTAAGAAAAAAGTTGACTTTTGAGCACTGTCAATATACGGAAGATCACTCACCTCCATCTTTGAAGAAGTTAGTCGTACTTGTGTCAGATCCTTTATCAATACATTACTTTGTTTTTCGTATTTCAGCTTATATGTTTAGAAATGAACAGTTTGTTTTAAGTTCTTGGTATCAATATATTAACATTCAAATGTTTGGACGCAAATTGAGGCATTTGAAAAAAACTTAAAGGCAACTCAGAGAAGGTTGGTGTTGTTTCAGTATTTTCTTTGTATAAATGCTGATTTCATTGCCCTATAGGGTAACCAAGTGTGATACATGGTGGCATCAAAGTTGACAGAGATCTTGTCTTCGAGTCTCAGTGTCATACATTATTAAAAAAAAAGAAAAAGATTTAAATATGTCATTGAGCTATTAGAAATGGCTTAACTTTGTCATCTGTTAAAAGTTGAGCTCATCTATGCAATGTTATTACAAAAAGTTCCATTTCTGCCATAATTAGAAGAAGACAAGGCCATGGGACTAGGAGAGCTAAAGAAACTCTGGACAGATTATGATTGTACAGAGTTCAAGAGGGTGTAATCAGTTTGAAACTACTTTGAAAGAGATTGAGAGACCGTATAAAATTGAATAAATATATATACATATTCTAAGCGATATGTTTATAAATATTGTTTGACCCCAAAAGTTCTCCAAATACAACTTTTTATACCAACTCTATATAAAAACTAGATAAGCGGTATTCGTGCGGGCCCAATAATAATGCGTAATATACATGAAATAAATGTAAAGGACTAAAGATGGAATATAAAGAAAAGCCGTGTGTAGTAGTAGATATATGGGGGGTATTATACATGCTTCTAATGTCGTCGTTAGACCTTGGAGAGTGGAAATAGATTAAATTAAGTGAAGATGATGTAACACTTGGCTAGTAGAGGAGTGGTTAGGCTTAAGCACTACATGAATATCCATAATATTAAATTAACCTCTCAAGAGGCAAACAAGACGATGATGACCAGCTTGATGTAACCTCTGTTACATATTATTAAATAAATTAATTATTAGTGACTAATTATTATTCAATAATTACAATATTCATCAGCAGAGCTTACCAAGCCTATAGCAGCAAGGCCTACTTCTGAAAAGTAAAAAAACTGTTCCATAGAGTAAAGTGGGTCTAAAATAGTACTTCCTCCGTTTAAAAAAGAATGACCTTATTTCCTTTTTAGTCTGTTTAAAAAAGAATGACCTCTTTTCCTTTTTGGAAACATTTTAATTTCAGTTTTCCACGTGGCATGTTTAAGACCACAAGATTAAAAGACAATTTTGTAAATTTGACACAATTTTAATTTAAGACCACAAGATTCAAAAGTCTTCTTTATTTTTTTAAACTCCGTGCCAAGTCAAAGTAGGTCATTCTTTGTGAAACGGAGGAAGTACTACTAGTCTAGTTTCACATACCAAAATAATCTTACCATTATCAATACTCTCCTTTAAGGGTTGTTGGGATTAGTTATGTTAGAATAAATTATACTGTGATGAGTTACGATGGAATTAGTTATATTTGTTTAAGTTATGCTGGGATTTATTTTTGTTGTTTGTTTTGTTTGTCTTATTCAAACTTATGTTCATTGCATAATTTCTAAGAATAAGTTGTTTGTTTACAATAATATCCTCCACCTTATTTAGTTTTTTTTTTCAAGTTTTAGTTATTCATTCTTAAAAATAAAACTTTCCATCTTATTTAGCTTAAATATTTTTGGGTGTGCATTTCCGTGATTGTATCGTGTGCTTTTAAAATTAAACTTTCATCTTATTTAACTTAAAAATAAAACATTCATATTATTTAGTTTAAAAATAAAACCTTCATCTTATTTAGTTTAAAAATAAAATTTCCATTTAAGTTTATTAAAAGTTAAAGAAATTTTATTATTAAAGTTATCTACATTTTAATTGATATATAAAATATAATTTTTAAGTGAGTAATAAACTATTTAATTAAAAATATGCAATTTAATAGTGGAGTGAACGTTTTGAGAGAAATCAAAATATAAATGAACATAAGAATTAGGCAAATAAATTCAACTTATATTATATTCATAAATAAAAATTGTATTTACAAAATGTATTTTTTTAATAGAAAAATATATTATCATAAGAACAATGAATAATTACGGTTGTGAATGCTATTATAAATGTTGTTAAAAATTATGTTAATATACATGAATGTAAAGTGAGGTATAAAAATGGGGTTTAAGGAGGGTATTTTGTTATTTTACCTACCTAATCCCATGATAAGTTAACATGTGATTATTATTCCACCCACTTGGAGGGATAACTTATCCCAGGACTAATTGTTAATCCAGGGATAAGTTATTCCACCCTTGACAACCATACAACAGATTAAAGACCACTTAAAAATTATCCCTGAATTAAATCCTCTTGTCTATCGTCTATCGACACACCAAACTTCCCCTTAATGTACACAGTACAGCCCTCACCTTCTAAATCTTCTCATTAATCAGGCATAATAGATGAAGTTTGCTTCAGGTTTGTGTTCGAGCCCTGGATCATTGCTCTTGAATATAACTTACATAACATGAATTACTCCTAAAAATAGTTTATGTGACACAAATTTAAATTAATTAAATTTCAATATAGATATATATTAGACACTGAATGAAAAATAACAATTAAAAAAAATCTTGTCAATATATAAAAAGTGAATTAAAAATAAAAAGTTAAACCAAACCAAAATCTCAAAAGATTCTTCAAAGCCAACCAAGATTGACTAAAATAGGCTGATTGGTTTGACAATAGTCTATACACTTTCTCGTAATTTTCCGTGCCACCTTTTATCCTACACAAAATGCCAAATAGAATGTTACAAAAAGGAGTGTGATGTTACATAGTTGGAGTAAAACAAATTTGGATTAATACAAACGGTAGAAAAGATAAATTAAATATATATAAAAAAATAGAAGCTCAATAGTCTTTATCATATAATTAAAAAAATTAATTCCAAAATTACCGTGGCGGAGCCATGTGGAAATAAGAATTCATTTAAATTCTATTAATATGTTTAATTCTTTATATTTCAAATAATAAAATTTCTGGCTCTCCACAAGAAATAAACACAAATATGCATGGCATCGTTTTAGTATTTGTATCTTCCCAACACAAATGGTCGTACTCGAATTTTTAAGACCCTACAAATCTTGAAATTAGCCAAAAAATTATGTTTATTTTAGAGGATTATTATAAAGTTTATGGTCCCTTAATTATTAGTGGGACATTTACAATTGATCCTTCTGATGTGTGATTAAACACGTTTAACTATAAATTATTGTACGTAATTATGTACTTGTGACCCTCCTTAGCTGGCAAATTTAATTTAACAGATCTTAACTTTAAAAAAATAAGGATTAAATAAATGATGTGATTAGTTAAAATATGTTAAGATTCATGATATAATATAAATATTGGAGAGACCAACACCGTATCGGAATATTACAAGATCTGAAATTAGAATTATGAATAACTTAATACCAATATTGCATTTTTTCTTGTTTTATTCTTAGTCGACATATTAAAATTCAAGGAAATAACTACTAAATTCTTAATCAAAGAGCTTTTAAAAAATAATCTCTCTATCTTCAAGATATGTGATAAGATTTGCTTATACATATCTTTTCCAAATTTTACTAGTATATTGTAATAGTAGATGGTAGTTAAAGAGAGATTAATTTTTTTTTTTTTTTTCTAAATATCCAACTTATTTACTGGAGTAATATTACGTAGAAGGAACTTGTTAGCTCGGTGGAAACTTTGTATAACGTTGTCCGATTATTATATTTTAAAGGGGACAACTCAAGAGTTATACTGTTAGATCGATAAAGTTAGTTAACAATAGGCTTAGCTGGGGCTACAACAGTTGTAAGATAATTTAGCATTTTACATTATTGTACTGCGAAATACAAAAATATATATGAAAAGACAGACGCCATTGCTAAGTGACTAACTGTTTACTGTAAATGGCTTAACCCCATAGCTGAACTATTCATCGATGCAAACTTAATAATCTCTTGTGGCAAAAACTGACAATTCCCTTCGTGTTTAATTCCCAAAAAATCTCTCGTCAAACAATTATCCATACCGTTCATTGAAACTGCTTGAGTACTATGCATACCAACTGTTTGCATAATTGCCTCATCCAAATTAATCCCTGAAGAAGTGAAATTCGGACACCCAATTAGCCCGTTGTTGCTGTGTAACAACGACGTTGTGTAATCTTCAGATTTCTTGGCGAAAATTTGATCTGTTGTTTCACAACTCTGTAAACTGGTAAAAGTTGGTGTATTTGGGGAGGATGAAGAAGAAGAGTTCAGTTTGCTGAAATTGTTGCTAAAGAAAGTTGATTGATTGCTACTTTTTGTA